CTTGGGCTTCCTGTAGTCAGCCGCTGGTCAGTTTCAGCAGCGGCTGAATCTGGACGCCAGTTCCTACTTACATACAGATTCAACTTAAGAACAAACCTACAGTCCCTATCTTGTACGTAACCCAGGACTGCCTGTACTTATATTTTATTTTTACTTTATAAAAACAAGGTTGAGAAACACTGGTCTAACCCATTACTCTTAGAACCAACTGCCATCCTGTTTACCATCGATGTAAGCAATCCAAAGAAAGAGTTGATGTTTAATAAGATCCTGACCTTGCAATACATTGCATGGGTTCAGCCACCAGTGCGGGGTGGGTGGAGAGGAATTTTCAGGAGAGGGAGCAAAATATTTTTGCCTATTGATCTGGTAGAGATATTAATGGTGACAAACAGAATATTCTGCAGAAGCCTAATATGTGAAAGACTCATGTCTTTGTGCTCATGCAGAGAATGTTACTCCCTGGAAACAATGGTTTATTTTTTGTACTCCTACAGTGACGTGCTTAAGTTCATTACCAAGGAACAGAGTGCAATAAAGCACTGCAAATATCAGAAGAATTAACTTACCACTGAGTCAAGGAACCTAATGCAACACTCAAGCTCTGGTCGAGTTTCACAGAACTGCCGAAAGAGAAGCCTTCCGATTGGCTGCTTGTCGCACAAACTGTAATAATCTCTCTCTAGAGGCAATAAAAGAAGAAAACAAAAGTGTAAAAACCTGAAGATCCTCTTTATGTGTTTTGCGCTGGCTAGAATTTTAAAACATAACAAGTGAGCACAGTATAAGGACTTCAAAATATAATCCCACCTTGGAAAATCAAAGCCAAATATAATGGACCCACTAGGCAAGTATGAGCTCCATTCTACAGTTCTAGTGCAGATAAAAAGTCCCACTAATGCCATTCAAGCATGACAAGATGACAATTTTGGGCCTTTCACTTCTGGATTTATATAGACTCAGAAGGCAATTCCTATGTTGGTTTCTATTATGGGGGAGAGAGAAAGGAAAACAATACATAAAGAGAGTTACCAGAAGCCTTGAGAAAGTGATTTTGCACACGTAATTGCATCAAAGTTTGGAATTAATGGGAACTTGCAATAGCTCTATCCTCAGGCCAGTTCCCCTTATATATATTAAAAATTGGTCAGAATGCTGCTAAACTCTGAGAAAATTAGAGTCTGAGTTTCTGGCTAAAGCCCTTCTCCAATATATATGTATTTATAAGTGTATAGATATTTTACAAGTATTTAAAATCTGTGTGCTATCAATTAAATGGGCAGTAACCAGGGCTTTGCACATGGAGCATCTGTGCTGATGAGACTGAGTTTCACATGACATCCTCCTTAAGTTTATTTCTCCCAGTGTTTGTTATTTAGAATTGTTGTTCCATCATTGTTCAGCACCAAACAGCAATCTGACTACAATGAAAAGTGTTTTATGCGTTAATAGCTAAAAGGAAAAAGAAAAAGAGTCCCACAAATTGAAATGACACAAGTATGAACCAGCTGGTATCAAATGTGACCGTTGGAAGATCAGCACTAAGCACTAGTCAGCGTGGAGCGGCTGCACACACATCAGATACATTATTCCTTTAAAACTACACAAAATGTCAAACAACATATTGTGTTTCCTTAAGCGTTCTTCTCACCGCCTTCCTCGTTGCCATATGGCAGTCGCTGTTATTATGGAAACAATTCACTTTCAAACACATAACATAACACTGAAAACAGACATACAAAACCCACACAAGTTGTCAATGCCTGGATTACTTCTGTTTTACAGCTGTACTAGTGTGTGCAGCAACTTTTAATCATTCCCCCTCTACTAGCAGGAAAAACATAGGTGAACACAGGAAGCTATGAATGAAACATCCATTCACTGGAGATTCTACATCACTTGAGTTGATTTCATCATGCCCATCCCCTGCAATTACAGGATGTAATCCCCAGGTGAAATACATATCAGATATTAGACATGCTCATTTATGGCCAGATTGCAGCCAGATTTTATATGGGTATAAAGGCAGTGGGAACCAAATATCCTCTACCTCCTAGGTAGGGATTGGTCACAAATCTAGTGATTGCATCCACCTATACGGATGGATTGCAGGTTTTCTTGCATCATCCTCTGATGCACAGTTACTGGGTGCTCTGGGGCTCAAGCACTCTCAGAAAAAAGAGGGGGTGCTAAGCATCTAAAGGGCCAGATTAATCTTTTATGGGCCCCAGCACCCTGAATGTGGCCACACCTCCTGCTAAGCCTCTTCTCTCGGTGGCCCTGCCCATGATTCCCATGGAGGGGAGGGGGCAGAAAGGGGCACCCAAAGTCATTGTCTGTGATCTGATGGGTCTGGTACCCATGGCTGTCAGAGGCAGGATACTGAACACATCGGACCATAGGTCTGATCCAGTACATGTGTCATATATTTGCCAAGCACACAAAAGTGAATGCTTGACCCCCACCCACCTCTCATGCCTCTTCTCTCGAAGACCACTTGTGCTTTTTTGCCCCTCCTCTAAGGCCCCCATGCAGGTGGAATGCGACAGGAAGAGGCAGAGCATGTGCTGCATGGTTATGTGTAACCCACACACCTAGTGTGGTTCACTGTTCCGTGAAGTGGCACCTAGACAACAGCAACAGATAAGACCAAGAGACCTCTATAACATGGGCTGAGAGCTAACCAGCTGGCTTTTAGCTTAGAGGGTAGAGTCTCCTACACTAAGCTCCCAAGGTCCCAGATTCAAATTCACCAGACGGTTACATATGCAGCACAAACACCAGGGCTGCGTCTAGACTTGCATGATTTTGCAGAACTACTTTAAAAAGTTTTTCCGTTAAAAGTATTTCCACAAAAGCGCGTCTAGATTTGCACGGATGCTTTTGCGCAAAAAGTGCTATTGCACAAAAGCATCCGTGGCCAGTCTAGACGGGATTTTGCGCAAGAAAGCCCCGATCGCCATTTTAGCCATTGGGGCTTTTTTGTGCAAAACAGTTCTTCCCTGTCTACACTGGCCCGAGCAGGAGCGGGAAAGTATTTGTGCAAGAAGCACTGATTTTGTACATTACAAAGTCAGTGCTCTTGCGCAAATTCAAGCAGCCAGTGTAGACAGCTGGCAAGGTTCCTAGAGAGAAGACATTTGCAGAGCAACAGCTATCCAAAAAGTACTTGCTCAGTTCAAGTGAGGACATAAAAATGAGAATCCTTTGATTGAAATAGAGAAGGTCAGAAAGAGATGAAGGAGAAAAGAGTCAGATGGTGGGGAAAGGCATAGAGAGGCACTGGGATGATGAGACTTGGAAAACAATGCTGAAAGAACCTTGGCACAAACCTTTATCCACCAAAGCATTTAAGTCATGTGAATGTCTAACACTGATGGGCAGAACCAAACCTGGGACCTCTGGAACTTAGTGCATGAGCCTCTGCTGCTTGAGCTAAAAAGCCAGCTGGCTCTCAGCTAAGACTGTAAAGGAGACTCATTCTCTCTCTCTGTAAGTGGTCTAAGTGCAACAACATGGACGAGTGTACCACACCCAGTCAGCGTGTGGGTTACACATGCACATTAATTCTTTCCTGGACTACGGTGATAGGGGGCAGCAAAGTCAATAGGAGTTTGCAATGCAACAGGGGAGCTGAAAGAGAGACCTGTGGGAAGCCAAAGGCACAGGGCCTCAGATGAGGTTTAGCTGGCGTTCTGAAGGTGGAATTACACAGAAACCTTTTGCTGCATTTGTTGTCTCAGCACAAGGTTAACAACAGTTGTGTACTTACTGTGAATAACATACACTCAAAAAATATCTTGAGTCTCCATGTCATTCATCTTTCTCCCAAATTAGGAATCCGCCCCTTTTAATAGACCCCAACTCTGAAGCCAAGAAAATATAAAATGAACAAAGCAAAAAGTAATATTTCTTAATACAGGCAGTCCCTGGGTTACATACAAGATAGGGACTGTAGGTTTGTTCTTAAGTTGAATTTGTATGTAAGTCGGAACTGGTACATATTGTAGAGGAAACTCTAGCCAAACATTTCTCCAGAGCTCAGTTTTATTGTCCCACACCTCACTTCCCTCAGTCCTTTATTCTCAAGCTGAAGTGTCTGCTGAGAAAAGCCGCTCCGCGTCTCCCTGATCTGCTGGGGGGGCGCTAGCTTCGCGTCTCCCTGGTTTGCTGGGGGGAAGCAGCTAGTGCGGGGTTGCCTCATCCCATTTGTAAGTAGGGATCTGATGTAAGTCGGATCCATGTAACCCGGGGACTGCCTGTATAGATTAAAATATCACGCTATGCAGTATAAACGTACAAAGTTATATAAACATTTAAAGTACTTTAAATGTTTCTCTTTGCATAGTCTTATTTTCTGGATAGCATAATCATTTGCAGTACAATTATTTGCAGCTTTTTAAAATTTGTCATAATAGGATAGCATGGGAAACATTCATCCTAAAATTGATATACTATCTGAGCATATATCTTGTCTGAATAGTCTGAGACTGATATATTCAACAGACTGACATTAGGTAATCAAGATACAGAAAACAATATTAGGAAACAAGTAAAACATTGTTTTTATGGATAATATAAAAGAGAATAAATGAACACACACCTGCTGATACAGCTATGAAAATGTTAACCCATTTTTAAGGAGGAAAGAGGAAACGCCAGTAATAACTCCAGCTAAACATAAGACTCAGTCCAGTTTCCTTGAGTCAGCTTGTATTTGATAATGTCCCCTTAAAAGGGGATATATTTGATAGATAACTTAAATGGTGTGATTGTTCCCATTCCTTTTAGGTGACAATTTTTTTGTTTTAGGTCCTAATCCTGCAGTTGACCCTGCTCAGTGAGTTGCAGGATTCTGGCCTGCATTAGTATTTTGGGATATATGGACCATGTTCTGGACTAAGAACTAAAATCATACGTCTCAGCTCAAGCCCAGAAGGTGACAATTTTGTTTAAAAAGTGCAAAACCAGGGTAAGCTGCGCTCTTTATTCCATATCTAGATTCTTGACTACAGACTGCAGCCAGGAAAGGAAAAGACAGCTCATTGGGCAGATCATGTGACCAGAAGCTTATCTTGGACTGAGTTTAATTATTGTGTCATTGTCTGCAGGCCTGCCAATAAAGATATCTATCCAGTTTCAAAAGTTTAAAAAACAGAAAAGAATGATTTCCTGAGGAAATGGCAGGAAATGTTAAACATTTGGAAGTGAAACCATATGTTTGTGATGACGTAGTGGAACTAAAAACAATTCTGAGAGCAATATCTCCAGCAGACTGCCCCTCCCATTTCGGAAGAATTTTGCTTTGACACCTGCAAGGTTGCACACAGACAGAATGGCTTTTTAAAAAGGGAGGGGTGAAAAATATAGGAGGTCAGTTTTAACCTTTTAGTGTCTTTATTTAGAATTGGCAAACACAGAGGACCTGCCAGTGAACTGTTTATCATCTCAATTAAGCAACTGTCCAGGTTAATAGAGGAAGCTATTAAAAAGATGTCAGAAAAGATTTATTTAAATACAACATAGTGACAAATACTACATGATAAATTATATTCACTCCATGTTTATTTTATTATGTTCACTCCAGGTTTATTTGCTAATTTCTATATAAGATCCGAGTTTCACACTTTAAACATACTTGAACATTTGGAATTGGCCAACAGCATTTTCATTGAGCTAATT